ATAGCTACAGAGAAAACTCAAATGTTCAGGCTTCTATTATTGTAAAAGTTATGCCTGAAATAAGTTAAAGCTATTAGTTTTCCTACCTGATTTCTTATATGTTACTTTGTGCGAATCATAGAAACGTAAAGCCTTGACCTAATTGTTAATAGGTCAATGAGTTTGTGTTCTGTTCAATCTATCTGTTATCTTTTAACTCGATTTATTTGTGGTGTAAAGTGTGATACTTTTAATGATATATAAATATTGTAATTACAGAACTGTTTTGGAATTTGTAGTGTCTCTATATTTTCAATTGAACTGTAAAACCACATCATAGGTGCCACTTTGAGGTAGAAATTACAGATGAAACAGGCACGACGACAGCAACAGTGTCTGAAGGCTTGGGCGAAAGGATGTTGTCAACGACAGCTGAACAAATATACGATATCATCAACATTAAGGTACATACATATACAACATTGCAGTTAACATAAGCCAACAAAGTTAATATAATACTTCGATAGTTAACACATAAACATAAGCTTTGACAAGTCCATTGTTTTTCCTATCTGTTTGCAGAATGAGTTATTCCCTGTTGCCCATATCAATCAACTACTTGCAGATAAACTGTTCAGAATTCAACTACAAAGGTCATCATCCAGAACACCAGACAAAAATGCAGGTTCTCTGGTCCTTTTATCATACACTGAAAAACCAACCATGTTTCTACCAGAAGAGTCAGCATCTGTGGGTGATGCCGAGAGAATTATGGAAGAAGAGTCAATACTTGGGGCTAATGCAAAAGCAACTAAGAAACGGAAAAGGGAACCAAGTACTCTACTAAAGCCGCAGTCAAGGTTAGAATATTTGCATACTGCTCTCATCCATACAATTTTTTATGATATTTGTTTCAGGATTTGTTTTGTCTTTCAAAATGGTGTTCCATTTCGAGATATTAAAAAAAAAGTAGTGTTTGCTAAGGAGAATGAATTGATTTAGGTGGTGAAAATCATGCAATAGTTTATTTTAAAGCTGGACAACTTAGACCTTTTAGCTGCACATGTAAGGAGTCGAGATATTTTTTTTCCTGCATAAGTTTCTTGATTAAATTTTGGCTTCCTTTTTGGTCTCATAAAATTTTGAAATGCCTGATGAGATATCTATTCTCCTTGATTTTTTATATACTGACAAATCACTTACATAACCATTTTATGTCACCATGTAATGTATGTACCGCTAAAGCTCTCTTTGGGAGGTAAGTTGAGTTATCACAATACAAGAAAAACGTCATATTTAGTGTTACCCACCTCTATGCCGGCTTCAGTGAGGCAGCTAACATCCCACAAGAATAACCATGGATATGTCCCATTACATATACATATTTTGTTGTTATTGAGAGTGAGATGTTTGGATAGGTTGACTTATGCAGTTTCGTGGGATCTGTTTGGAAGTGTTAAACGTAATGTTTCAAATATGAAAATAAAATCTCTCTTTATTTGTACAGATTGTCAAGGCAGTGATGTTCGCTGAAATGGTATGCGATGTACAGAGACATTTTGACAGATCATACCGATCTTTTAACAAGGTTTAGATAGTTGGCCGCCTAAACAAAATGTTCCACATTTTTTGCCTAAATAGTTGTCAGTAGTGTACGCCTATGTTTTTGAAGGCAATTGGTATTATTTTTTGGATCTTGGAGCGGCCTCCAGATATTGTATAATGACATCTTATAATTAGGATCCATGTACCTTTCCGAAAGTTTGCGACGTTTATCCCATGGTGTTTACTTTTCTACTACTGATGTCTACTTTTACTTATTAACAAAGAATTATAGATGTATAATGGCTTCGGCATCATAACAAAGAGCTAAACAGAAGGATTTCCTCCTGTTTGAGAGGTTTATTTTCGATTTCGGATGCTTCGTTACAATCTCTTATGGCTTTGTGGAAATTCCTCTGAAGATTTTAAATGAGCTTCGACGTGATTACAAAGAGCTAACAAATGGTCTGTTTTCAAAGGTTATTTGAATCAAGTTTTTGTACCATGTATTACTAGCTTCTTCTTCTTTTTCTTCTGAAACATTGAAGTGGTTCAACATTACTCTAGAAAGCTAACTAATGAAATTTTTAATTTTTTAGCTATGTATTCTCAAGATAGATATACAAACAGAATTGTAATTTAATCTAGCAGTAACTACAAAGTTATTGCACTCCAGGTCATCATGTAGATTTACATTTACCTTTCTTTCGCTACTCGAACATATAAACACCACTATCAGAAAAATTATCTGCTAACTCTTTTGTGACAAATAAAAATAAGTTTACACTATAATTTGTTGGGCGCCCATGCCAAAGAGCATGGGCAAACATTATCTAGTTTTTTTAATAAGGCACAGTTTAAGGAGCTTCGGGTCAACATGGTGTGCTTGTGGCCTAAATGACGAAAAAACCAGAATCTTAGTTAAAATGCTAATTAATACTGTAGGGGTGTGCATTCAATTAACGATTCGATTTTGACCCTTAATCGAAATTACTTATCGATTATCGATTTGTACGTATGCTTATCGTTATCGTTTTCAATAAGGTTTCGATTTTTCGATTTCGATTTAACGATTTTTGGGGCTTATCGATTACACCAATAAGAATTTTGCGGGACTCCACGGAAAGTATATCGCTATAAACACGCATAACTTAATATGGACCAAAAGAAGCTAAATAAGACGAACACCGTTTAACATAAAAATTGTGTCAACAAGCACAACACGAAACTAAAGTAAGGGATCAATGTATGCACCACACTCCAACGGTATTAAAAGAAAAATACATCATCACGGCTAATTCTATTTTTTCATTAATTTGAACTTCATTCCCTTGAGCTTTAAATAATGATCATTCCTTAAATGTGGTAGATGAAATAATAGGGTTAGGGACATAGGATAAAGGAAAGGGTATTATAGAATAAGGGTAAAAAAAGTTAAAAGAATTAAAAAAATTATTTTTTTAAAGTATTTCTTATCGATTATCGATAAACCGATAACCGAATAGGACAAAATCGAAATCGAAATCGATAACTCGATAAGGAAAATTTCGAAATCGAAACGATAAATCGATAAACCGATATTGATAAACCGATAACAATAATCGATTCGTTAATCGATAAACCTATTCGAATGCACACCCTATTATATGCTGACTTTGTAACCTGGGCCCATAGGTACTTATGTAACTATGTTAAAGGAAGCAACTTTATTGGTAACCGTTAATTTAGGGAGAAATTTAAAAAAAAAGCCAGATTTACAAGTGGTCATTCAAGAATAGCCCAATTTCAAAAGTAATCGAAATTTAGCCACTTTTATGTAAAGATAAAATCTGGGCGAAAATACTGTTCAAACCCGAAATTTCCCTACTATTAATAAGGCACAGTTTGAGGAACTTGGGCGTTGGGGGTATCTTGGGGAATCGCAATTGGTTTGGCTTGCGACACGTGCTATCCCTATTTGAGTCCAGAACTAAAATGTGGTTCTTTTAGACTCAAAATACTTTTTAGGTGTAAAAAAAAGTTACCATTCTAATATAAAACGCGGTAATGAACCGCGTTTTAACCTTAACGACCGTTTGGGACGTTGAGGTAAATCAAGGTTTATTCTTGCGTTTTATATAAAACGCAGTTTAATGTCGCGCTTTACTGGAAGCTGATAAGACAGCTATAATAAAGCGCGGATCATTACTGCGTTTTTGTAAAACGCAGTAACAAACTGCGTTTACATGTTTGTGGGCCCAACCAATACTCTTCTGCGCTTAACTGACATAACAATAATTCAATAATGTAAAAACGCCCTTTTATACTCCGTTTTACTTCAAAAAAATTTGATCCTCCCGAATTGGGCATTGCCTTAATATAAAGGCGTTAAGGGTTTTGAGAAAAATCATTCAGAAATACTCCAACATCGTGATAATTTTTTCTTATTGT